AGTTCACATTAGATTTACAAAGAAAGCCATTAAAAAGCAAATATTGCAAGTGGCAAAAGAGAAAACATTGAAATATAAAGACAAGGAGATTGTGGTCTTGAAACAAATACCCAGAAGAGTAAGAGAGATGAGAAGAGAATACCGATTCCTGACTAAAATGCTACTTTAAAAAGAGGTGAATTATAGATGGCTGATTCCAGAAGGTTTAATGTTCACATGGCAAGAACAGAGACATAGAATTGATTTTATACAAAAATTTTTGGAGGGAAAGAGGAAGAGGCAGAAAAAGAGATCTCACTAATTGAATTCCAAGAGGACTGCCAAATGGCAACTGAAAAAGAAGAAGGCGCAGTAGGTGGAAAGGTGGAAGCCAAAGAACAACGTGAACTAAGATCTACAAGAGCTCCTAAACTTAACTACAAAATATAACCATGGAAGAGAAAAAACTGATTACAATTAATATAAATGGACTTAACTCAGCCGTTAAAAGAAGGAAAACCGTTCATAAATTAGAGAAATTAAAATTTGATATAATTTGTCTACAAGAAGTACATATTAAAAAACAATATGAACAATTGTTGATACAGCCAAAATTAGGGAAAATATTTACTTCCTTGACCCAATGTAAGAAAAGAGGAGTGGTTTTATATATTAAAGAGACCACCCCAGCAAAATTGATCTATACCGATGATGATGGAAGAATACTAATGGTGGAAATAATGGACAATAATATGAAAACACTCCTGATTGCAATTTATGCTCCGAATGACAAACAAGAGGAATTCTACAAAAAAATTACATATGAACATAATTGAACTGGACTATGCTAATATAGAGATTTTAATGGAAGTGTAGACAATAAATTGGACTATACAGCACAGAAAACAATAAACCAAAACAGAAAGACTCTCCCTAAATCTTTTTTTAAAATGGTAGATGAAATAAACTTAAAAGATACATGGAGAGAAAGAAATGCTACAACTAAACAATACAACTTCTATTCAAATAGACACTTATCATGGTCCAGAATAGATATGATATGGATGTCAACAGAATTAATATCTAACATTCAAGAAATAAATATTGAAACAAGTACTTGGGCAGATCGCAATCGAATGACAATTAAATAGAAAGGACAAAAAAGAAGATCTAGATGGACGTTAAATAATACTATTTTAAAGGAAAAAGACTTCACACAGTGGATGGAGAAAGAATTGGCTTTTTTCTTTAGAGAAAACAAAAAAGAAGATACATCAATTCAGAATGTATGGGATACAATGAAGGCATATGTTAGAGGCTTGATAATAGACTATACAAGGAAAAGGAATACTATGAAAAGGCTAGCCTCTAAGGCCCTCGAGGATGAGCATAAAAGACTCGAAAAAGAGCTACAGAAAATGCCACAGAAAAAGGACATCAAGCTAAAAATGGATATAATTAAACACAAAATGGGTCAAATAGAAAAAGAAGAATTAGCACAGAAAATTAGAGGTGCTAAACAGAACTACTTTGAAGACACAAACAAACCAGGTAGATGGTTAGCATACAGATTGAGAAAGGAGAAAGAATCAAGGAAAATATTGCAATTAATAGATGACCAAGGCCAAGTTTGCTATGGTAGTAAAGAGAAGAAGGAAATCATTCGAGACTTCTATGGGAAATTATATATGCAAGAGAATATTGATGAGGAAAGAGTTAAACAGTACTTACAGAATGCTAATTTACCTCAGATACCTAAAGAGACTGAAACAATGTTAGAAACCAATATAACGATGATGGAGTTAACTGAAGCACTCAAGAAGCAAAATAATGGAAAGGCACCAGGTCCCGTTGTTGAACTTCTTTAGTTATCCATGCCGCCTCTTCTCTTTTTTTTATTTTAACAACAAAAACAACAAACAAAACCATCTTTCAATTTTACAGTGTGTTGGTTAAGTACATATATCTTGTGTACATAATAACATTATTGTACATTTCTTACTTAATTATATTTATAAACCATTCTAATCAACATTTTATATCATATTGTTCAATTATTATATTATCATTGACATTATAATCATTATCTTTTAAGAACATATATCATCCTTACTAAGTTATATTCATTCTCTTACTCATTCAAGATTAATCAATTACAGTATATTATTACTGTTACCACATATTTCATTTTCTTATTCTTCTATCTAACCATCCATACAATAAATCCCAAATCTTATAATACTCTTTTTCCTCCTGTTCTCTAATTGCCAGTGTTAGTCTACTCATTTCCGCACATTCCATTATTTTCTTATTCATTTCCTTCTCTGTCGGAATTTTCTCATTTTTCCAATTTTGTGCAAATACAATTCTAGCTGCTGTTAATACATTAATAATCAAATATGTTCTCTCTATTATACCTTCAGGCCTAATTCCCAATAAAAATATCTCTGGTTTTAAATCTATATGTTGCTTTATCATTTTTTCCAACCAGATGTGTATTCTAGTCCAGTATCTTTTACCTTCAATGCATGTCCACCACATATGGTAACATGATCCAGGTATCTGATGACATTTCCAACATTTTGCCAATTTGTCTTTACACATCTTCGCTATTCTTGCCGCCTTTAAAACACATTATACAATTTTCTTTATAGGCTGCTGACATTGTTAGTGTTTAATTTCTTGTCCATAGTTTCTGCCATTTACCCAAATCTATCCCATATCCAAATTTTTTCCATCATGCAATCATTGTTTCTTTAACTTGCTGCTCTTCTAATTTCATTCCCAATAAATAACCATATTTTAATCATCCTATCTTCAGTGCCTGTTAAGGTTTTATATAGTTCAATCAATTATGTATAAAACCCATCCATCTTACTATCTTCTTCATATATTGAATGTATTTGCAAATATGAATACCAATCTATATTGGTATTCATATTTAATGTTCATTTAATTCTTGCTTTGTTTTGAGTTCACCCTTTTCATTTATAATTTCCTTATATTTAATAATATGTTCCATTTTAAAAACATTTGGATATGCAAATGCCTCTGTTGATAACCAGACTGGTATTTTCATACAATGGTACTCCCTTATTTTCTCCCATACTGTTAATAAAGCGTCCCTGATATAATATGCCTTACTTTTACTATACCATAGGAATGCATGCCACCCCAATTGCAGATCATGGCCTTCCAATGTTAACAGTTTAACATTTTTCAATACAATCCATTCTTTCATCCACATCAATATTACTGCCTGATAATTTAATTCCCAATTGGGTAGACCAAAACCTCCTCTCGTTCTTACGTCCTGCAACAATGTTATCTTAATTCTTGTCTTTTTTCCTTGCCAAATAAATTTCAGCATCATTTTATTTAAGTCCTCAAAATATTTTTTCCTCAATTTTATTGGAATCGTCTGGAAATCAGTATAGTATTTTTGGGAGTATGTTCATTTTAATCGTCACTATTCTCCCTGTTAAGGATAGTTGCAAATTTTTCCATTTTTCCAAGTCTGTCACAATTTGTTGTTTCAATCTGTCATAATTATCCTCTTTAAGAGTTCCACATCCTGCTGTCATTTGTATCCCAAAGTATTTCACTTTTTTTTGTGATCTGGATATTTAATCTGTCCATTAATATTTTCTTTTGTTTTTCTTTCATATTCTTCAATAGAATCTTAGTTTTTTCCTTATTTATTTTCAATCCTGCAACCTCTCTATATTATTCTATCTTTTCTATTAACTTAGGACTTGTTTCCAATGGTTCTTCCAGTATAAAAACCAGATCATCTGCAAATGCTTGTAGTTTATAGTCCTTTTTTATTTTCATTCCATTTCTTCATTTTTCTTAATATTTCTGTTCAGTACTTTCAGGGTTAATACAAATAACAATGTCAACAGTGGACATTCTTGCCTAGTTCCTTTTTGGATGTTAATATTATCTGTCAGGTCTCCATTTATCATTACTCTTGCTGTTTGCTTATCTATCTCCAAATCCCATCTCCTCCAATTGCGACAGCATAAATTGCCAGTTAACATTGTCAAAAGCTTTCGGTGCATCAAAAAAACCCAGAGCCATTTGTTTCTCTGGATGTGCTTCGTAATATTCCAGTGTGTTCAATATTATCCTCATATTGTTTTTTATTTGTCTCTTGGGTAGGAATCCATTTTGATCTGAGTGTATAAAGTGATTCTTTTTTAAATAATTTTATTAATGGACAACAAACAGGAAAAAAAACATTTAAAACAATGAACGTGGTGCATACATAACAAAAAATACAAATTTACATATGTACATAAATATTAATCATCTTTGCTAGAGTTACTCCTTTCTTTTTTTAAACCAGTGGTAAAACTTCTGTAATAATCAGATTCAGTCTTATCTTTTAATTCTTGAGTTAGTCTATCCATTTCAGTGCATGACCAAATTTTTCTAATTATTTCCATCTCTTCTGGCATATCATTTCCTTTCCATCTCTGGGCAAGAGCTAATCTCGCGGCAGTGGTGACATGGATTATTAAATATATTATCTCTTTATTATATTTCCCCACATTGATTCCCAATAAGAAAATTTCAGGTCTGAACTCTATTTTAATTTTACACATCTCTTCTAACCAGTTTCTGATTTTCAGCCAATATATTTGGGCTTTTTCACATTTCCACCATACATGGTAATATGTTCCAATTTCTTTATTGCATTTCCATCATTTAGGAGATAATTTGGGATACATTTTTGCTAGTTTTGATGGTAGGATGTGCCATCGATAAAACATTTTTAGTAAATTTTCTTTATATGATGCCGCCAGGGTAATTTTCCTATTCCTATCCCATAAAATTTGCCAATTGTCCAGATTTATACCATATCCAAAATCTTTCATTCAGGCCAGCATTGTTTCTTTCACCTTTTCTTCTTCCAATTTACATTCCAATAGTACTTTATAATTTTTTAAATCAATTTCTCATCCGCTCCTAATATTTTATCTAATTCTGTTTTCCCACTAATACCCCATTCTTTACTATACCTTGATTGTAATTGTAAGTAGGTCCACCATTCTATCTCAAATCCCAAATCTTTCAGCTCCTGTCTTGTTTTTAAGTTTCCCTTCTCATCTAATATGTCCTATGTAAGTACCTGTCCTTGTCATAATAAATGTGGGTACATTAACACTTCCAATGTAGATAGCCAAGTTGATATTTCAACATAGAATTGAGATTTAGTTTTGTTCCATGCACTTAGTAAGGTCTGCCTAATTTTGTGCCTTTGGAAATAACCATTAATTTGGTGTTTGTCCTGCCACAAAAAGGCATGCCACCCTGACTGTATGTTATATCCTTCTAATGTTAATATTCTTTTGTTTTTAACACTTATCCAATCTTTAATCCAGGTCAGAGTGGCCGTTCTATATTTCCCAGTCCGGTAAACCAAATCCTCCCCTTTCAGTAGCATCCTGTAACAATTTCAGTCTAATTCTGAGCTTTTTTCACTGCCAAATAAATTTTGATACTAACTTATCCAATTGATTTAAAAAAATTCTAATTTTACTGGAGCATTTTGGAATAGAAACAGTAATTTTGGTAATATGTTCATTTTTATTGATGCAATTCTCCCCATAAGAGAAAGTCTTAGATTGTTCCATTTTCTGAAGTCTTCAGCTATTTTTTAATTAGTGTGGAATAGTTATCCTCTTTAAGTGTTGTACATTTTGTCGAAATTACAATTCCCAAATATTTAATTTTGTTTGTCATATGAATGTCCATTATCATTAAGTTTTCTTTTTGTATATTTGTCATATTTTAGTATTTTTGTTTTTTCCTTGTTAATTTTTAGCCCCAATACTTCGCCAAATTCCTCTAATTTCTCTATTAGTTTTAGTCCCAAATTTTGCGGATCTTCTAAAATAAAAACTAAATCGTCAGCAAAGGCTTGTAGTTTGTATTCTTCTTTCTTTATTTTTAGTCATTTTATTTCCAGTTATTTTCTAATTATTCTTGTTAGTGCCTCTAAAGTCAAAATAAATAATAATGGTGATAATGGACATCCCTGCCTCGTTCCTTTTTGTATTTCAAATTTGTCTGTGGTATGGTTGTTTATCTTAGCTTGTTGTTTATCATATATGGCAGCTACTACATTTAGAAACTTTTGCCCCAAATCCATATACTTAATTTGTTGCAGAACGAAACTTCGTTTTACATTATCAAAGGCCTTTTTAGCATCCAGGAATAATAATGCTACCTGTTCTCCACTATGGTCTTCATAATACTCTATGGTATCTAAAATTGTCCCAATGTTATTGCTAAGGTGTCTATGTGGAAGGAAGCCATTTTGGTCTGTGTGTATAAATTTATTTAGTATTTTCTTGAGTCTTTCTGCTATTATAGCTACAAAAATTTTATAGTCCACGTTTAGTAGAGATATTGGCCTATAATTTCCTATCCTTGTTTGATCATTTTTTTTCTCTTGGGATGATCGTAATTGTTGCTTCCTTCCACGAGTTTGGAATTTTTGCCTTATTCAGGACTACATTAAATAATTTGAGTAATCTGTCGCCTAATATTTCTTGTTGGGATTTGTATAATTCAGCAGGGAGTGCATCTGGACCAGCCGCCTTATTATTTTTTTGTTTATTTATTGCCCAGATCATTTCTTCCAAATTTATGCTTCTAATCAATAAACTTTTTTCCTCTTCCGATATTCTCGGAAGATTCGCTTTCTTAAAATATTTTATCGCTTTTTCTTCTGTTACAAATTCTTCTTCTTTATATAGATCCTCATTGAATTTCTGGGCTATATTCCTTTTCATTTCTTCTTGATAACATATTTTCCCCTGTTCGTTTTGTAGTTTAGTGATCCATCTTTTTTCTGCTTGCTTTTTCAATTTCCAGGCTATCCATCTTCCTGGTTTATTGGCGTTCTCAAAAACATTTTGTTTTATTCTTTTCATTTTGGGGCTAAATCTTCTTTTTCCAACAGATTTATTTCATGTTTTATTAAGTCCATTCTTGTTTTTATCTCCTTCTGTTTCAGTTCTTCTTGTAGTTTCACCTCTAGGTTTCTATATTCCATTCCTAATGTTTTTTGCTGTATCTTCTTTTTCTTATTTTTATTTGCCATATAATTTATCGCTACTCCTCTCATAATTGCTTTAGCTGTATCCCAGGTGTTTTGTAAGGATGTATCTTCTTTATTTTCTTCAAGGAAGAGTTTCATTTCCTTTTCCAATTTAATTTTAAGTTCTTCCTCTTTTAATATCGTTCTTTGTAGGGTCCATCTTGGGGTTTTGAGTTGGCCTTTCCAACTGAACCTAATGTAATTATGATCTGCCTACAAGCTCGGTTCAATTTCTATTTCCATTATTTCAGAGATGAGCCTCTTAGGCATCCATACCATATTCAGTCTCGACCAGGACTGATGTCTGTTTGAGTAAAACGTGAATTGTTTCTTGTTTGGGTGATGTTCTCTCCATGCATCATAGATTTTAGCCTCGTTTGCCAAATCATGGAAATTTTTGGGTATTACCTTTCTTCTTGTTATTTTCTTATTTTCACCTTTATAATCCTTTATCTATAATTGCATTGAAATCACCTAAGATGCAAATCTCTTCATAATGCCTTTCCTTAATATTATTATATAATTTTTTTTGAAAAAAATGTTCTTGTGGGCAATTCGGAGCATAAATTTCTATCAAGAGAATCTTTTTATTTTCAAATTCTATCTCTACCATCAATATCCTGCCGTCTTTATCTTGAAAAATTTCTTTAGCCAAAATCCAATCCTTTATGTATAACACCACCCCTCTTGTCTTTTGCTTATCTATTGACATAAAAGTGTTTCCTAATTTTCTATTTTCTAACAAGTATTTTTGCTTCTCTTTTATATGCACCTCTTGTATAGCTATTATGTCTGCATTGAATTTCTGTAAATTATATAATATTTTCTTCCTTTTTGCTGGGGAGTTTAGACCATTAATATTCATTGAGATTACCTCACATTTCTCTTTTTTTTTTTCAATTTCTTTGGCTCGTATTTCTTGTTGCTCTCATTTCTCTGGATTCTGTATATTGTCTTTCATATATTTCTGCCCTTCTTCTTCCATATCTCCTCTCCTTATTATCCGATGAGTTTTCTTCCTTATTTTCTTCCTCTGCTCCTCTTTGCTCAACCAAGTCTTTCATTCCTTCCTCTTCTTCCACTGCTGTCTCTCCTTCATTAGCAAATTGTTGGTCATAGAAGTCTTCCGCTTTGTCCATTGTATCTAATCGATATCTCTTCTCCTGCCAGTTAACCATAATTCCCTCCGGCATCAACCATCTAAAACCAATATTATGTTTTATGAGCTTTGTTGTCAGAAAATGGTAGGGTCTCCTCAAGTCCCTTATTCTTCTCGGTACCTGTTTAAGAATGGTTATCTGCTTTCTGGCTCATCTCTCGTTCTATGCAGTATTTCATCACGGGTCGACTTCTTGATCAATCAGACATGAACTTCTCTGGGAAGGTTATGCCTTCTTGCATAACTCATCTGTATTCTGTATGTCTTGTCTATTTCCATCACAATTTCTTCTTTTTCAGTTCTTAGTATTTTCACAATTATCTTATCTGGCAAATCTTCCTCTTTTTCCTCCTTAGCACTTTGGAATCTCAGGTAATGGGTTGCTTTTTCTGCTTCCAAAAGTATTACCATAGATTCCAGATCTTTATTTGCTTGTATCAGCTTATCTGTCAGGTCTTCCACTCTTTTCTCCTCTTTATCCATTCTGGATTCCGCTATTTTTTCCTGGTTTTTCTGCATCTCTTGTTGGTAGCATTCAAATTTTTCATCTATAATTTGAATTTTTTCTTTTAACTCAGATCTTACTAATCCTATCTCTGTCTTCAAGTCCTCATGGTTTTAGACATCATTTCCTGCATATTCAGCAATAATCCTTGTAGATCTTTTATGGAATTTGATCTCTCCCTTGGTAACATTTCTTCTATAGCTCTCTGTGTCAAGGGACTTGCCATTAAGGTTGTTGTCAGTGTTTGGGTGGGTATTTTTTTCCCAGCTCCCAATTTTGGAATGTTTGTGTTACTTGTCATACTTAAATATCTGGACTATAATATTATTTTCCACCACCTCTTCCAATTTTTCTCTTCTCTTTCGAATCCCTCCAATACTTATATTAATAATAAAGCTAGTCTAGCAATAAATCCAACCTAATATCCAGTATTCAATAATCTGCTGAATGTGCTAAGTTATATCCACAATATCAAAAATCAGTATCTAATCATTAATTATAGAAGATATATTGCTTAGTCTCACTTAATCAAACCTTTAAAAATAGTTAATATATATCTAATTAATCTATAACGTAAGTGTATAAAGTAATTTAAATATCTTTTAAGGCTTTCTGCCATTATTGAGGCAAATATTTTATAGTCTGCATTTAGCAGGGATATTGGTCTATAATTTTTTATTTGTTGTAGATCAGTATTTTACTTTGGTATAAGTGTAACATATGCCTCTGTCCATGAATCAGGAACTTTATTTTTATCAATATCTCATTCATTACTTCAAGCATTATAGTACAAATTGATTCCTGTAAGGTCTTATAGAATTCTGCTGGTAACCCATCCGGACCAGGGGCTTTCCCAGTGTTTTGTCTATTTATTGCTTCTGTCAATCCCATAATTGTTATTCTCTCTTCTAGCATTGTCTAAGCTTCATCAGGTATTTTTGGTAATTCTGCCTCTCCCAGATACTGCTGGACCTTATCTCTTTCTCATATAACTTCTCATAGTACTTCTGCATTATTTTTTTCTTTTCCTCACTTCCATAATATAATGTTCCATTTTCGTCTGTTAATTGTGCTATTCTTTTCGATTCTGTCCCTTTTTTCAGTTTGTTTGCTAACCATCTACCTGGCTTATTTGCATTTTCAAAAATGTTCTGTTTAGCTCTCCTAATTTTTTGCACCAGTTCTTCTTTTTCCATTAGTCCCATTTTATGTTTAATTATATCCATTTGATTTTTATGCTTTTTATGATGTGGGTTTTGTTGTAGTTCTTTTTCCAATTTCTTATAGTCTTCTTCTAAGATCTGTTGTTTTTTCTTTTTTAATATTCCTTTTTCTTGTATAAGTTATAATCATGCCTCTGCAATAAGCCTTCATAGTATCCCATACATTTTGTAGTGAAGTTTCCTTCTTTTTATTTTTTTTTAAGAAAGAAAGTCAATTCTTTCCCCATGTTATTAATGAATTCCTTTTTCTTCAGGATTGAATTACTCAAAGTCCATCTTGACCTTTTCCTTTGTCCCTTCCATTTGATCCATATTGAATTATGGTCTGCCCAAATACTTGTTCCAATATTAGCTTCATGAAATTAAATCCATTGACATTCAAATCATATCTATTCTTGACCATGATAAATGTCTATTGGACTAAAATGTATGTTGTCGATTCTTACTATTCAATTCTCTCCATATGTCTTTGATGCTCAATTCCTCTGCCATCTGAAAGAAAGATTTCGGCAATGTCTTCCTGTTTTTTTTATTCATTTTCTGTGTTTTATAGTCCAATTCTATATCCACAATAGCTTTAAAGTCTCCAAGAATGCATATCTTATCATATTACAATTCAGGTATCTTATGTAGCTTCTTGTAAAATTCATCTTGTTTGTAATTGGGTGCATATATTGCTATTAAAAGCATCTTTAAGTTATTGTCATTTCCACCATCAATATTCTCCCTTCTTCACCTGTAAAAATTAGTTTGGCTTTAGTTGTATTCTTAATATTGCTCTCTTACTTTGTTGTGCCGATGATGTGTAT